TTTCTGTTTGTATAAAGCGCGAGAAAATTGTATATACGCATGCAAATACATATATATTCGTCCTATACACTTATAATTATACAATAAAAATATTCCCCTGCCCAGTTCTCTTTTGTCTTTCTCTCTTTCTCGTTTTATACAACAAAATTGTATAAATTGCGTTTCTGTTTGTATAAAGCGAGAGAAAATTGTATATACACATGCAAATACATATATATTCGTCCTATACACTTATAATTATACAATAAAAATATTCCCCTGCCCAGTTTTATGTTTGTATAATGTATAATTTATGTTTGTATAAAGCGAAAGAGAGCGATTTTTTATATACAAATATTTTTGTCAACGATTTATACAAACGAGAGGCTAACAACAATTTATACAAATGGCCTGCCAGCGAAATTATACAATTCTGAAGAGGAGCCAACGAATTATACAATTGCTTCTTTTTGTATATATGTATAACGAAATAGACAACTTTCAATTGTATATGTATAGCGAATTATACATATATATGTTTGCTATGGAGCGCAATTATGCAAACTTTGCTATAACATACAAATATGATTTTTTTGTTTGCTATATGTGAAAGTTGCTCAATCATTAACTAATCATATGGTCTGCTTTGTCATTCTACATTTTTTGGATTAGAAGGACTTGGTGATATATGAGATAATCAATTAAGAAGGCTTTTTTGTGTTTGATTTGTGATACACTTTAATCAAATTCCATACAGAGATAATGGGCCTTGAATTTCTGTTTAAAACTATGGGCCTAAGAATCCTTATGATGAGCAACTGAATCTGCTGACAGGCCCATTGGCAATAATAGTTATTAATTCTTGGGTAATTCTTCGAGTATAAACTAGTTTAGCTCACTTGTATGAATCTGTTGTGGGCTAATTTATTCAAATAGATCAAAGCAATGACTTCATGAGACACATGTTCAAAGTGTTGAATTAAGGTAGATGAGTTTGGTTAATAAATTGACTAGACCAATTGCAAGACTGTATGAATTTGTGCTTCTGTACCAGGAGCGTAGCTACGTTGAACATTGATTAGTTAAACATTCTTTATTGAAAAATAATATAATGTTTACAGGTCAAGTATCCTAGTTGATAAAATTTCTGACTTCATCATTGTGTGGCAAAGTAGTCAAATTTTGAAAATTACAATGTAGCAAACAACCAAATATTTGAATTCGTGTTATGGATATAAAAAGAAATTGACCCATCGCCAGTTCCGACAATGAAAGAGGACACCGCTAAAGCCCAAATTTGACTAACCAACGTACCAATACTGTTCTCATTCTGACTCTCAAATTTTCAATATTAACTTTCACTTTCACACATTCTGTTAGGATTAACTTATAACTTAAGAAAAAAATGTATCTTACGTTATTAAAAATATTTTATATATAGTTCAAGTCTTCATGGTTTCATGTAGTCAAATACTCAAATTTTGACTAAATCAAATAATAATTGATTACTGAGTTGCGTATTTTATGTGCTTGGTATGTCTAGTATGACGATCAATGTAGACTCAACCAAATGAGACCCCTAATGAAAGGGTCCATCATTAACTTTAAAATATTTTTTTGACTTAAAAACATCTAAAATTAACTAATTCAAACAATTAAAACCTAGATGGCTTTTATCTTTTAATTTTGAACATAATTTGAGAAAAGTCATATAAAAATCCAAGAATATAGCATAGGATACCAAATAGTACCATGTAAAGGAGGGTTCTCGTAATTTGACCAGACAAAGTTATCTACTTGGGTATAGGGCACGTTCATCTCTCCACATGTGATCCATTTTCTACATCTTATTACAAAATACTATTTCTATTTTTTATGCTCAAATTTGTCAAAGATCCACTAAATATTTTTATAACCATATTATATTTGTTTCATATTAGTCGTTCACCTTATTAGAAATAATTATCTCAAATTACTTTAATCATTCATTCATTTTTATTTGTCCAATATACTAAAAATAGTCATCCGTTTTACTTGTTCAATTTGAAAATACAAAAGATAATTTATCATTTTATATCTATTTTAATTAAGAATGTCTCAAGTCAAACATAAACAAGTAAATATAAACGAAGGGAGTACTCCTCAATTACCAAACCAATATAAGTTTAATTAAAAAAAATCGTTTTACCCCAACAATTTTTTTTGGAAGCCTACACAATTTTATAAGTTCCAAAAGTTTCCTTCTCAAAGGAGTATATTAATTGATAAATAAAGATATATTAGTAAAATTATCCAGCAAATACTTCTTAAAAGGCATATAGAGAATAAAACAGATAATTAATATGAAACGAAAGAAGAATCCAACACAATAAACCATTAAAAATATTTTTTTTGTAAAGTCAATTTACTCGCATCTCAATTATTTCACAATTTTTTTTATACTTCTTCTATTCATCAGCATAAACACCAAAAAACTATCTATCAAACAACCTAACATTTTTCTTTCTGTATTCAATTATCATGATTTTTATCGCACTTCATTAATTATTAGTGTTTCCATATTGACTTTGCAATATTTATACACATTAAGTTGTGCAAGTTGTGACCCACGCACACCACCCAAATCGTTATCTGTCCCTTGAGTCAATCCACAAATATTAATTTCAAAAGATTTATCTCGAACCAACATCTTCCCCTCAATTATTATTCCAAATTAGCCAAAAATAATTTATTAGACAATTAGCTGGACCATACATTTGAATAATATAATAAAAACAACACTACCTCAAAAAAGTCCAAACTGATGTAACACCCACCCATATTCCCATTAATTATATATATATATATAAATATATATATATAACTTAAAGTTTGTCAAACGTCTCACTTACGACACGTTCTTGATTAGACTAATCCCAACTTGATTAAATTCTTTAATCTTAATTCTCATTGACTAACTATTATGGTAGGAGCCAAAACTCTTTAATTTATTTTTAATTGTTTTTTAGTGGAAGATGGAATAAGTGGACTTCCTTGCTAGAACCAACCTAACGTGTATAAATAATTAAACGTCAAATCATAAAATTAAATAAAGGAAAAAAAAATCTTCCAACATGATATGTATAGTATATTAAATTAAATTAAATTAAAAATTAAAAAAAAAAAAGTACCCACTAAATTTTTGCATGATTCAATTTCCACCAAATCCACAATTTGTGCTCTCTATCTTCTTTTCAATTTTTTTCCACGCATAATCAAAAGTATTTCAACGACAAATACATAGAGAGAATAAAAATTAAACAAATATTGCCTCTTTTTTTTCTTTTTCTTTAGGCGTTGACCATTAGATCGACGGTGCTGATTTACTCTTCATGTTTCTAAAGAAGATCTGAGCCGTTGATTATCATTAAAATTTAAGAAGATTCAAGAACATGAGCTCCTGGTGTTTCTGTAATGGAATGGGAATGATTGTGTTCTCCTTCATATGTAACAATCAACATCGCTGGATCATCTAATGCTCTTTCTACATGTTTTCTTGCTGGACATCCTCGTACGCTGCTACATTTGTAATATCCTCTGGAAAAGTTCAAAATCAAAATCAATACGGTTGCTCGAATGATAAACCCCCTTTAAATTAAATATGAAATTATGGGTTCGAGTCATCAAGAAAGCGAAAAAAGTGAGGATTTACCTAGGATGAGGAGAACCCTTGATGGGTTTTTGACCATATTTTCTCCATGAATAATCATCAGGTGGAATATCAGCCATTTTCATGCTAATAGCAGGGACTCTTACTACTCTTTTGACTCTTGATTTTCTGAATAAATTATCAATAAATCAGTTAAAATTCACATAAATTTGTAAAGATCTGTATATTTATGGATTTAAAGTGATAAAAATGGAATCTTGGGGTTGATTTTTACCTTTTCTTTGGGCAGTGGCAACGTCCGGAGGACCCACCGGCGCTGCTGCACTTGAGAGCAGTATCGTCCATGGAACTACACTTTCTTTTGAATGAAGAAGTAGAAAGAGGTGGCCGGCCGGCGGATGAAACCTGAGAAAGATTTGTTATTTGAAACCCAGAAGATAAAGACTGCTGTAAGCTCTCTGTTTCCCCTGTTAACGATGACATAAACGAAGTCGCCGGCGACGGAGAAGCAAAATTGATGGTAGTTGATGCTTCTTTCCTCTCAATCGACCCATTTTTCACTAATTGAAGATGGTTATGAGGTAACGGAGGCAACCTTTGAATTGGGGTCGGACAGTAGATTTTGGTATTTGAAGTTTGGGGCTTTTCGATTTCTTCAATTTGGGGGTTTTGATTCTTAATGAGTTGTTGTAATTGTTGGGGTTTTGATGGAAGAGGAGGAGAAGGAGAACTAATTGGGCCTCGGCGGAATCTAGCATGACCAGTTCTGTTTTTATCAAGTAAAGAAATGAACTTTTTGAATTTGTTTACAGCAGCATCAGCTACAGCTTGATAATCTGGAGAAACAGAGGATTTACCCAAAGAAGAAGATGACGAATCTTGAAAATTCGGTTTTTGTTGATGTTGATTTTGATGAGATTGAGACAACAATCGGATTAATTTCTCAACGCTTTGAAGTCCGGCGGTCGCAGCTTCTTGTACGGCGGTTTCCTCCATTTTTGATGAAAAATTATCGGTTCTGTAACCACTGGTCATTAAGTCTACAGCCATGTTTAGAAAACCATAGAACAGAGAGAAGAAGAAGAAGATTGGAAAGAGTGATGAGAGGGGTAGAAGATAATGAAGATATAGAAATAAAAAAGAGAGAGAGAAAATGGAGGAAATTCTTATTCTAATCAATGAGGGAGAGAGTCAAACTTATGATGCTCCTTTTTCTCTTTTTTCTTTTGTTTTTTTTCTCTACTTTTATTTTGTACCTTTATATCTTAATAAATGACTTTTTTTTTTGTTTTTGACCGGATATTTGGGTTTTGAAATCAAAACCTTTGATTATTAACCAGAATCAATACTACTATTTATAATTAACAACGAGGATTGTGATGGATTGATAAGTATTCTGTCATTTTTAATTAAAAATATTAAATTGTAATATAGATATCGAACACTAAATAAAAAATCAAACAAAAAATATATATGGTTGTTAAAATTTAAAATATTTAACTAAAAAGATTTTTTCATATCTAAATCTCAAATTTAAGAGCTTTAATTTGTTATTATATCACAATCTTTATTGATCTAAATATAAATGACTAAACTTTGACCTTATAGCTTATAAAGGGGTCGTTTGTAAGTTGATTAATTTTTTATAGATATCACTATTATAGAAATTAGGTATGATCTCTGCCTCAATTTATAGTATATTTTATATTTAATAAAATTTAACATTGAAATACTTATCTTATTTTTAATAGAATGATTCATAGTCATACAAGTATCTATCACTTATTTTAGATCACTGCGTAACTCCAAACAACATCTAAAGGATTAAGCCAATGATATGTGTCCACGTTAATTATTCATTTCTTTGTAGGAAAGAAAAAGAGGGCATTGACTATAGTATTTATTTAGTGTATTGGAGACCGGTTAACGGGTAAACCGGTGGAAAATGGAAGATGACGGAGGAGGAAGGAGGCAGAAAGTCAAAAGGAAGTAATGAGCCGTTAGATGAATGAATGGTAAAATGAGAGTTAGGTTGGAGCCAGTGAGGTAGAGTTGACTCTTTAACATCTTTTAATGCAAAAGTCCATATGGGGTATACATAAAGTCTCTTTTATTTTTACAGGCATATGATATTTAAAACCTACTCTTGTGCATTTATTTTTACTTACTCATTATTTTAAAACGTAAAAAATACTCTTAAATTAGGTAAAATTAAATTAAAAAATCCTTTTTTGCTCATAGTTAAGATAAAAAAATGAGTTAATTTAAGTTTAGCAAACATAAAAATCATATTAGCGCTATATGACTACAATTTTGTTATTTGTACTCCATAGCAAACATGATTTGTATTAAAATCGCAGGCAGCATTTGATAATATAAAATCGCAGACATCTAATTTGTATAAATCACAATAATTTATATAATTTCGGTGTCTGTGTTTATGAAAATTGTGTTTCTATATCTATATGTTCTTTGTGTTTGTATATCTGCATAGAATTTGAATTCGTATACAATTTAATCGAGTTAAAATTGTTGTATTTGTATATCAAATCTCTCTCTCACTTTATACAAACACAATTATACATCGTATTTTGTATAATTTGTGTTTGTATAAAGCGAGAAAGAAAGAAATGAAAAAAAAAAAACTAGACATGGGAAGATTTGTATTTAATAATTATAAGTGTGTAGGACGAAGAGATATGTATTTGTATTTGAATATACATTTTTCTTTCGCTTTATACAAACGCAAACACAATTTATACATTTGTGTTTGTATAAAGTGAGAGACGCGAGAGAGAGTGGCGAGCGAAATGAGGAGAGTGACGAGCGAGATTTCTGGAGAGAGAGGCGAATGACAAAGTATTTGCTACGAATTAGAATTAAATAAAACTGTGGTTATAACATTTATTTTGAATTAATAGTTTGTTATTTTATACAAATTTCTCTTAAAAAATATCTTTACAACTAATAATTTAATTTTAAAATATCTTTATTATTATTAGATGGGTGAAATTTTTTATTATTTTTTAAAACACATCATATTCCTAATAAAAATATAACTTTGAAAATAACTTTATTTTTGTTATCTTTCTTTTAAAATCATTTTAACTAACACAAATGTAGGAAGTAATTTTTTTTCTTTCATAATCTCATTTTATCAATTAAAACAGAATAACTTTATGTACTTTTTCAACTGATAATATATGTCATATATATAAAATATTTTTATTTTTTGATTATTTTTAAATTGAAGTAGGATAAACATTTTCTTATAAAACGATTCTGATTAATAAAAAGAATGTCTTTAGAAAAAAGAAAAAAACATATTTATTTAAAAAATATATTTTTAAACCAAATTATTGACGATAAGGACATTTTAAAACCAAACTACTAACTAAGACATATTTATTCAATTTCATATAATTTATGGCCCTTTCCGTATTCGTCATACTAAAAAATATGCTCTTCGCATTATTTCTCAAGACCCATAATCAAACGTCAACAAATAAATTCATTAAATATATGTTTGATCAAATAATATCAAATAAATTGTAATACAATAAGTTTTTTTTTTTAGCATATACATACTCATGTTATGTTTCAAACCTTGCCCTCCAATTGAATTTGATCCTAAATTGCCTTTATCATTAGTGAATTTGCTCATATTTATCCCTCAAGTCCGCCACTATGGGAAATAAAATAACATTGTCTCCATTTTGAATTATGGAAAATAGAATAACTTTGGCCCTCATTTGCATTTGGTCCTAAAATATAACCTTATCATTAGTAGATTGACTTAGATTTTCTGATACGAGAAGTTAAATAACTTTATCCTTCGTTAAAAATTGATCTTAAACATACTTTTAATTATTATTAGTAAATTTACGTTTTAAACTATTTAAAAGTGAAGAAATGTCGATCAATCAATAATTACGAGTCTTTTAGGACCTACTGATATCTCGTTATGCTCAGTCTTCGTCAAACTTGAAATTAAAACCACACAAAATCACAGTATAGCTAGCTAGGTCACAGCTCACATGGGATTCTTTTTTCTTCTTTCCCTTTTGTATCTTTGGGTGACTTTCGTTTTTTGTACTCTTGTTAAAATTTCCTCTTGAGAGTTTTGACAAAATATAAAACAGAATATTAAAAAATATATTTAAAAAATAATTATTGTCTTACACCAAATGAACATTGTAGGACCCTTAACGAGTAGACACAATATTCTCAAATCTACTTGGGGATCATTTCAACAAATTGTACAAATTGTCAACAATTGAAAGACATAATTTCTTGTTAGATTTTGCGTATACTATCTTTATTTTAGTTAGAGTAACTTTTTTTTTTTCTTTAATTGGTCAAGTTGATCTTTTTGTTAATAAAATAATTGTAGTAGTTCAAACCTAGGAATCATTGGGGGTTTAAATTGTCTTTAAAAAGAAAGAAAAAGCAAAAAAATTAGCGATGTAATAATAATGTAACGTATCTCGAGGAGAAGAAAATGGATTTTAAAATGGAAAAAGAAAAGTAAAAGTTGACAAAGGTGAAGATATTGGGAGGGGTGTTGTACAAGTAGTTGGGTGGATTGTCAACTTTCAAGTTGAAAATAAAGGACAATTTGAAATTCAAAGTAGTATTTGAATGTGAGTTTTACTTAGATAAATTTTAAAAATTGCTACTAAAAGTCATTATTTAATTTGAAATACTTATAAACCATAGTAGTCCGTTGAACTATAATCATCAATCGAGAGCATCGTGATAATATAGACTAATTCTTTAACCTTAATGGATTTCACATCGATCATTTGATATTCTTATAAATGTTATTTTTATCAATATTTCAAAAAACTAATGACCAAATCATTGTAAATAAATATAAAAAAATATTATTTGTAGCCAATAGGTATCATATTTTTTTCGTTTTCCATTTTGTATCTGATATTTATTTTAGAATTTGACTAATGATCAGATTCATGCTAGTATTGCATAAAGTTCAGTAAATCACATGAAAGACTGGAAGTGTTTTTATCATAATTTTTTCTATTCCTAAAATACTCAAACCCGAAATCACTAGGTGAAAATAACAAGCACCCCCTATTCTACTCATCCCATAGTAGTGCAAAAGAACCTATATTGTTACAAGATTAACCAAAATTTCACTCCATCAAAAAAAGCCATAAAATAAAGCAATGAAGCATTGACTTTGAAGCTGGATCCCACTTTATGTTGGCTTGCTTATTAAGAGTTGAGGTTTCAATAATTATGAGGGCATTTTTACACTCCAAAACATTTCTTCAAAGTCAATCTACTTCTTTTTTTGGTTGAGAAATGCTTTTCTGTCGTAGGTTTCTTCTTCTCAATCCCAAAAGGATTTATTTTGCCGAAAGTAAAAGTTTATCTTTTCTCTCAAACTTAGGTTATTGATAAACAACTAATAAATGAAAGTACGTCAATTTACACGCACTTTAACTATTTTACTTGATATTTATGTTACCTTTCGTTAACACAATCTTATATCGTCTCTCTAGTTTGCAAATATGGACTTCTTTTAACACACATGAAAAAGTATTGCTTCTGTTGTTTCAATCTATATGGCGTTGTTTCATTGAATACAAAATTTAAATAAAATAAAACAGTACTTTTTTATCCAAAATGTGTCCATGAATCATCCCATTGAGAATTAAAATTATTTTTAAATAAAAAAGTATGACATTATTCAAAGAAAGGTTAAAAAGAAAAATTCAACACATAAATTGAGATAAAAAAAATAAATGGTAGATAAAATAAAAAAGGATGACACAACTAGTTGGAGTATGACAGGGTAAAAAAACGACAACAAATTGGAATTCGACAAATTAACATTTAACCAAAATATGAAGTCATTGACTGAGAATAAATTAACCTAAATGGACAGTAATTGTTAACCTAACTACTTAAATGTATATCTACGGTATGAAAAGATAGGTCTCGAGACTCGAATTCGAGCTTTGAGTATAATTTTTTTTGGATAAAAAGTGTTATCCTTAAATGAGGTCCTAGTTAGACTCCAATATAG